TGTTCCACAGTGAATATTTTCAGAGCTCCCTGTGCTTCCCATTTCCATAACCTGTTCGGTTCCGTCCCTCATGTGTAGAATCTCCTGGGGCTTGTGAGCCATAACTTTAATTCTTATGACAAGTTGCACTCCCATTTTTATAAGTTATTAATTTCAAAGACATGCAAGCCTTGCTCAGGCTCAACAACAACAACATAATAATAATTAATATCCCTGTCATAAAGTCACTGTAAGACATTCGGGACTTTATTCTTGCATTCATTGCAGTGCTGCTTTTCTCTGTTTTATATCCAGAATTCAGAGAATTATTTTCAGTCACCATAAATCTCTTCTATAAATCTCTGATCAACTCTTCAGGATCAGCCAGATTCGCAAGCTTGCATCTAGAACAAATGTGTTTTGTAGGAAACTTTGCAGCTGTTCTGTAACCTTTCATAATGCAGCTTTCACCGCACTACTGTGCAATTTGTCTGTTTTGAAGGCTACTGTGATCATAATATACTAATCATTGCTTTAATATCCTTGGCAATTGATCGTCTTCTAGTTTAGATTGGTGAATTATATAACCTTTAATAATATATTCTAATAATTATTATTGAATCTATTAATCACTAGATGTCCTGTATCTTTTACTTCCATACAACACCAGAGCATGAATTTAGGAGATGCTTAAATCACATAAAGGCAATCAGGATCAATGTTCACAATCATGATAGTTTAATGGAAGAAAAATGCTTTCTTCAGATCCTTCTTGGAGCATCCCATATAATGGTAATTCTGAGAATGTTAAACTGCATTCCATCTTACAATTTGAAACTTGTCTTGTTTTACTACAAAGACCTAAACAGTTTATCACATGAAGACCCTAAACTGTCAGCTAAGAAGAGACACAGAGGAAAAGTCCTGACTTTGTAGATGTTTCTCATACCCACATAAGATGACAAGCCCTAAGTTGTTTCATAAGGTCTATGGTGCCTTATATTTTTAATATTTCACTGGCTCTGTTACACACGCACACACAACAATCTCTGTCAAAACTGTTTCATCACAACTACTTACTAGACACAGCTGTTCACTGGAAGTGGCTGCCTCATGCAATTGTATTTAGGAACTTGCAGTTGGGTTGAATACTTAGTTTTTTGGATTCAAGATCTGAAACTGTGTTTTGTTGGCACTTTCACAGCAGGTTAACTATGCACTTTGTTGCTTGTCTTTATTATGCAAAAGAGTCAGGGTCCCCCAGCATACCGGGACACTGCCAAACTCTTTGAATCTAATGTGCCTGTTCTGACAGTACCTCAGAGCACCCCCACCCTCACCTTGGGCGCTCTGTCGATACAACTTCTCCTCTCAACTGGTGGTGGTCTTGGTGGTGGTCTTGGTCCAGGCACCCACAGTCCCTTCTTCACTTTCCACTGTATAGATTCTTAGACTTCTTGTCTATTTGAAGAGCGTCCCACACATCCAATAGATCAATTCAGCACGTTGTGTGTAATCGGTTAGCTTTTGCTATGCTGTCTCTTGGCTCAAGTCCTCCGGCATTTGTTTTTGTGTATCTCCTTTTTAAGCTCTCATTTTCTTTGGCTTTTTAAATTCCATCTTCTGTTATATTGAGCCTTTAAGTGGTTCAGTGCTACGTTGTGTCTGGCAGCGCTGTGGGACATTCTTACATGGATGAAAAGAGCTATGGAAGGAGTTGTGCACACCCATCCACCCATTCTGGGTCCAATAATTGGGTGACAAACCTGATATTTACCAGGGTTGGGTTATCCAGCTCTAAAATAGGGCAAAACTACATTTTCAAGGTGCAGTATTTTGTTTTTAGAGAGGATTCCTCTTTCCCCATTCACCAAGATGTCACATTCCTGCCTGTGGAAACACTTTCATGTGTCAGAGTAGCAGCCGTGTTACTCTGTATCCGCCAAAAGATCAGGAGTACTTGTGACACCTTAGGCCAGGTCTACACTAAC